GCCAATAAGCCAATAAAGCACTCTTAAATTGAAATTGAAATAGAGAGAGAAAGAGAGAGAGAGAGAGAGAGAGAAAGAGAGGGGGGGGGGGCATTTGGGGAATCATTTTCATAAAAAAAAGAAGAAGAAGAAGAAATACATTTTTGTTTTCAGTGTGTACTTTTCAAGTAACGTTACAGTTTTCGTGCAATTTATTTTTAAATTTAGTTTATTACACACTTTACAACACAACTGTCAAATACTGTCAATTATTTTGGCATTAATAACGATAACAGCGCCACTTCGTGGCTTCAATGGTGAAGTATAGCCTATTCTAATTATGAAAAGTGTTATTTACATTAGTTACGCTTGGCAGTACAATTCTTTTAGTTAGTTTTTTATAGTAGTGGTATAAAATTATAACATTTACTACCACCACTTAAAATCTAATAACCGAAATTACATCATTTGCATACGGAATTATGAGTGTTATTTTCTTTCTTGCATATAGGCTTCTTTATTCCATAGCCACATCTAAGGTTTTAAAAAGCTATCCGCTCATTAAGCTGAATATTAATCCGTAATATAAAACTATTAAATAATAACATTTCGTTCATAAAATATGAATAATTAATTAAATGAATAAAATACTAATCCGTGACATATAGTCTGCTGAATTATATATTTTTTTTAATTAACGCTCAAAAATCAAAAACAGTAGCCTATACAAAAAGTAATACAACCATCAACATAAAAATGATAGACCATAACAACAAAATACAATTTAAACAAATGAAGAAAAAGGGGTTTTAATACATAGCCAGTGTTGGGGAAAGTTACTTTTCAAAGTAATGCGTTACAATATTGCGTTACTCCATAAAAAAGTAACTAATTACGTTACTTAGTTACTTTTTATGGAAAGTAATGCGTTACGTTACTTTTGCGTTACTTTTTAAATCTGGACAGGGCTTGCTTGTTTGATTTTAAAATAAAAAAATTATATTTTTGTTAAATATAAAAGCCTTTTCACACCAAAAGTGAAATGAATCAGCCTCAGGCTGAAGGGAAAGTAAATTTACGTCCGTACAGTAGAATGCAGAAGAAGACATTTCAACACACTTCAGCAATAAACAAAGAAAAACACAAATGTTTGTCTAGAGTAATTTTTGCTTATTAATACGGTTGAACTGGATCATCGAAGACATTGGTTAATAGAACGGGATTAAATACATAAAGGATATTTGTGTTGTTTAACATTTAATTATTGCAGGTTTGTGGGTCAAAAAGACGAAAAAGGGTTTAAGCATAAAATGCCATTTCTAAAAGATTTTTTGTTTTTGGAAAAACAACAGGACGTGCGTTTGTGCGCCAGGTTCCAAAATCTTTGGGATTATATTTTTTGGTAAATAAATATTCCAAATACATTCTGAGATTTCTAAACCGCCGCGCGCCCCCTGGAGGATTAACGAGCGCAGTCATATATATATATATATATACACACATATACATACACATATATATATATATATATACACACATATACATATTTTTGTTTATTATAGTTACTGTTTGTCATGTCGTTCAGATTTTCTCAACTGTTTAACCATTTAAAATTGTTAGCATTGATTTTTTTTTTGTCAGGTGGTGAAGAAAGCAGACATGGTGGATAAGAACATGACTGATCAGATGAGAGCTGAGAGAGATGCTCTGGCTCTCAGTAAAAGTCCTTTTATTGTGCACCTGTTTTACTCTTTACAAACTGCAACTAAAGTCTATCTGGTACGTACAAGGATGAATCTCATTAAAACCGGTGCAGGTCACATTTCAAAAAGACCTCAGGTGGAAAATATTTAAAGGAATAATTCAACCAAAAATGAAAGTTTGGCAACAAAATGTAGGCTAATTACCCTCAAGCCATGTAGATGTGTCATCGTAACAGATTTGGAGAAATGTAGCATTACATCACTTGCTCACCAATGGATCCTCTGCAGTGAATGGGTGCCGTCAGAATGAGAGTCCAACAGCTGATAAAAACATGACAGTAATCCACACCACTCCAGTCCATCAGTTAACGTCTTGTGAAGTGAAAAAACTGTGTTTGTTAGAAACAAACCCATAAAGGCAATTTAACTTCTAAACAGTCACTTTGGCTAAAAAAAATCTTAATTCAAAACAATGCTTCCTTCAATAAAAAAGTCCATCCCCTGTTGTCCTATCACATCAAAATCCAATCACATTTTAGTTTAGAACTGTTCTGAACTGTTTCTGCTTATAAATGGTGCAAAATGTTTGCATATTTCTCTCCTGATTCAGACGTGATGACTTTTTCACTAGAGAAAGTGATATTATAAAGTTAAAATCATCTTAATGATGGATTTGTTCATTACAAACATGCAGTTTTTCACTTCACAAGATATTAATTAATGGACTGGAGTCATGTGGATTACTGTGATGTTTGTATCAGTTGCTCTGACGGCACCCATTCACTGCAGAGGATCCATTGGTGAGCAAGTGATGTAATGCTAGATTTCTCCAGAACTGTTCTGATGACTAAACAACTTCATCTACATCTTGGATGGCCTCAGGGTGAGTACATTTTCAGCAAATTTACATTTTTGGGTGAACTACTTGTTAAATGTGAAACTTTAAAAGGTGCATGCATGCTTTTTTTTCTAGGTGATGGAGTATCTGATTGGTGGAGATGTAAAATCACTTCTTCATATTTATGGATACTTTGATGAGGACATGTCTCTGAAATACATCTCAGAGGTCGCACTCGCTCTGGATTACCTTCACAGACACCGCATTATTCACAGGTATATTCATAGGAGAATTATGAGTAATTTTTAATCTTTTGTTTATCAAACTGACATCCTTTTTGTCATTTGACTCAGGGACTTAAAACCAGACAACATGCTCATCTCAAATGAGGGTCACATTAAACTCACTGACTTTGGGCTCTCCAAGGTTAAACTTGACAGGGGTATGTTTTTTATTTTTATTTTTTTTTAATATATATTTTTTATTAATATTGTTGTTAACAACAATAAATGCTAAAATATTTTGTCTTGTGATATTAACAAACCTTTCCTTCCCCATCCTCCAGAACTAAACCTGATGGACATTTTAACCACACCTTCTTTGGTGAAACCTAATAAAGATTATTTCAGAACACCTGGTCAAGTTCTGTCACTGATAAGCTCCCTTGGCCTCGTGAGTAGATTTGCACAATCGTTTCATTTGTATATTACATGGCTCAACAATAATATTTTTTTTCTGCTGTCCCTGGTGATTCAGTTGTTATTTTATTAGCTTTGATTTGATTAATTAATATTGCTAATTTATCAAATATCTATTTTAGTAGCAAATTTTCATCTTTGAAAAATGTAAATAAAAGGGGCTATAATGTAACTCTTAGCTATATTAAAAATAAATATATAAATTAACAACACATATTTGGATAAACTGTGGCATACAGCGTGATACATTAAGGATTTGTATATAATTTTAACTTATTCTAACTGAAGCTTTCCAGACTGTTCTTTCAAGTCATTTATGCAGCTTGGACAAAAACGTCATGTCAGCTAGCTAGCTTTACTTTTATGACATTTAAATTTATTATCTACAAAATACTAAATCACTATCAGTATCCTTCAAAAGTTTAGGGTTAGTCCATTAAATTGATCAAAAGTGGCAGTAAAGACATTTACAATGATACAGAAAGTTTCTATTTCAAATAAATGCTGCTCTTTTGAACTTTCTATTCATCAAAGCATTTTGAAAAAAGTTATCTTGGTTTCAACAAAAAAAGCAGAATTTAAATGTTTCTTGAGTGCCAAATTGACATATTAGAATGATTTCTGAAGTGACACTGACATCCCTATCATATCACATTACAAAAATGATCAGTATATCACAACAACAAAATCTAATTTAATTTTCCAAGATATAAAAATGCACAAACTTGATCAACACATGTAAGACGTAGTGATGTAAAGTGATGTGCTGTTAAAGGGGTAGTTCACCCAAAAATGGAAATTAGCCCATAAATTACTCACCCTCAAGTCATCCTAGATATATATGACTTTCTTCTTTCAGACGAATCCAGTCAGGGTTATATTAAAAATTGTCTTTGATTTTTCAAGCTGTTTAATGCCACTCAGCGGGTGTTGCATGCATCAGTCCAAAAGAAGTTAAATAAAAAGCGCCCATCCATAAAAAAGTGCCTCACACTGCTCTGAGGAATGAACAAAGGCCTTCTGTAGCGAATCGATGCGTTTTTGTAAGAAAAATATCCATATTCAAAACGTAATAATAACTTGAATCTAGCTTGCGCTCACTGTTGTACACGGAAGCAGCTCCGGGCAGATGACGTATGGAGGTCGGCGTTGCGTATGCGCCGCTCAGAAGTGACGCACGCGGAAGAGCAGGGGAGCGATCAAAACAAAACAACGGTCACTAATTAGAAGTACAAAACGAGGATTTGTAAAGAAGAATGTCGGAAGATTTCGATATAAGCCAAGAGGAGACTGGTTTTCCTTTGCTAAAGTAAACATTGTTAACAAATGCTGGTTTTCACGAGACTCATACGTCATCCGCCCGGAGCTGCTTCCGTGTACAACTGTTGGCGCAAGCTACATTGAAGTGAATCTTACGCTTTGAATATGGATATTTTTCTTACAAAAACGCATCGATTCGCTACAGTAGGCCTTTGTTCACCCCCCGGAGCCGTCTGAGAATTTATTTTTTTTTAATGGATGGGCGCTTTTTATTTAACTTCTTTTGGACGGATGCATGCAACACCCGCTGAGTGCCATGAAACAGCTTGAAAGATCAAAGATGACAATTTTTAATAGAACTCCAACTGGATTCGTCTGAAAGAAGAAAGTCATATACACCTAGGATGACTTGAAGGTGAGTAATTTATGTGCTAATTTTTATTTTTGGGTGAACTAACCCTTTAACTTTGCCTTGCTATGTCATTAAATCAACTTAACAACTACAATATGTTTGAAAGAGTTTGTGCAATGTCCTATTTTGACTTGAATTGGCAGAATACCCCGGTGACAGAAGGCAAGCGTCACAGCAGCACATTGTTGGGCAGCCCCATGTCCTGCGGCAAAGTCAAGCAGAGGAATAGTTCTCTGTGTTCACCTCTGCTGAAGAGACGGGCTGATCATCTGAATTCACCAGTATGCACAACTCGAGCTCTAGGTATGCTTCAGAATAATGTGCTTTGAAAGTCTATCGTTGTTTTTGCTCTAGTGGAACATTGTAAAGCCTAACGTGATATTCTCTAGGATCCAACAGTGTGTTTAGTCCTGGCCTGCTGGCTAAGAGTTTGACACCAAGGCTGATGAAATCCAGGAATAGATTTGAGACTCTGAGTGTTGGGAGTGCCCACTCATGCCTGTTACCATCCACTACTGACTCTGAAGACTGTGTCAGTCCCATGTGGGAAGATGAGCAGGTTTTGTATCAGCATTACTGTTTTTAAAATGCTACAGCTGAATTTTAACGTACAGAATGAAAAATTGATTTTTGAGCTGATGGAAAAGGTAATCAAATAAAAGTAGGGGAAGTGAGTAGCATAATTCAAAATGACCAATGCAGATCATGATGAATTTGGAGGGGAAAAAACACTGTAATTATCGATATCAATATATTGTGTAATAATTAGTGCTGTCAAAACAATTAATCCCAATTAATCTCATCCAAAAAAAAAGATTTTGTTCACATAGTATATGTATGTGTGCTGTGTATATTTATTATGTATATATAAATACACTCCCATGCATGTATATATTTAAGAAAAATGTTTTGTTTATATATTAAATGTTTATATATATATATATATATATATAATATAAATTATATAAATATTTACATGTAAATATTTTCAAAATATATACTGTATGTGTGTGTATTTGTATATACATAATAAATATACACAGTACACCGATATAATATGTAAATAAAAACTTTTATTTTGGATGTGATTAATCGCAATTAATCATTTGACAGCACTAGTAATAATACAATACCATACTACACATTTTCAGTAATTTTGCTAATTGATGATGCTAATTATGGTGAGAGATTAGAACAAATGTTACAAAAAAAATAATTATATTATAATCAATTAATTTGGCTTTTATATAAAATGTAGAATGTAATTTACAGTTTACTCTTTGTAATGGCAAAGCTAAATCTTTCAGCGGCCATTTCTCCAGTCTTCAGTGTCACGTGATCCTCCAGAAATCATTCTAATATGCTGATTTGGTGCTACATTTTTCATAATTATTTGATGAATAGAAAACAGCATGTACTTGAGATGGAGATCTTTTATAATATAAATGTCTTTAGTTTCCATCTTGGTCAATTTAATGAATTCTTGCTGAGTAAAAGTGTTTATTTCCTTAAAAAAAAACTTACATTTTAGTGTATATAAAAAAAGAAAAATCATGCAATCAGTAAATCATGTAATCTCGCATTTCTAGAATTTACAAGATGGTGAGAAGCTTCCACAGTTAAACGGAAGAGAAGTGGGCAATAGAGTGTCAAGAAACATTCCCTTGACACCTGTGGAAAGAAGGAAGATGTTTCCAGCACGAGTTCAAGATCACAGCACTGTTTTGACTCCACTCAATAAACAAGTGGACAATAGCAGAATTATTAAACCAGATATTTCTGCAAAGAGACTCCAATTCAGTGCATCTGACCACTGTGCTACTCCACTGGGTAAGGCTGATCCCCATCAATCAAGTCTTATGAAACCGGAGCCGCCAACAGAACCCAAATCCTCAGTAAAGAGAGCTTTTGACGAAGTAGAGAAAAGCCCAGAGCAGGCTGAGATCCATTGCAAGAAAAACAACACTGTTTACAAGAGGTCTTTCCACATTCCTGAGGACAAATCAAGGGCCCACACAGGCTTGACAGGAATTTTCTCCACTGTGGGGCTTGATGATGTTAAAAGTGCACAGATATGTCAAAAGATGAGTGAGAGAATGGGCCAAAAGCAATCTAGTCCCATAGCCGTGGCCAAAAATCTCTTTTGTGATCTCGAAGATCAAGGTGAGGAGGTGGCTTTGCCTAAAACAGAGGCCAACTCGAGCTCCCCGACCTCACCCGGTGATGACCGAAATATCAGAAGAAGCCTTAGTTTAGATTCGGACGGCTCAGCCCATGAGATGTCAGTGGTTAAACAAGAGGCTTTGTCGTCCTCTTTTGAGGAGCTGGATGAAAATGAGATTTCTGTAGTCACACCGGTGGCCCGGCCCACCTTGGCTACACCAAAGCACAGCAGTGCAAAGCAGCATAGGGGTAGATCTGAGCGTTCTCTTCTTGGCCATCCTCGTGGGTTGTCTGACAGTATGGTCAAATCACCTGGCTTCCTCAAACCCAGGAACGTGGTTGCATTTAGGAGCTACTGCAGCTCCATTAACCGCTCTTGTACTTCACATCTCAGCCTGGCCTCTTTGGATGCCATGGAGTTGTCTGCGTCAGCCTCCTTCCACAATGCCCCGTCTGCAGTGACTCCAGTTCAGGAGAAAAGGCCCAGTCTGAGCAGCTCACTTTACCAGGTGAGAATCTTTTGGAACTCAAATGAAACTGGAGAAAACGGGTTTAAATTGGAATTGGAAATGAGAGAATGTCTGCTTTTTCTTTCCTAGACTCCACAGCAGATGGTTGTGTCTCACACTCCCTATAGGACACCAAAAAGTGTTCGTAGAGGTCCAGAACGTGTGGAAGGGGCTCCTATCCTGGGAACTCCTGATTACTTGGCACCGGAACTTTTACTAGGCAAAGCTCATGGTAAGAGTTTAAGTGGTCAAGTTATAGAAATATGTGACCCTGGACCACAAAACCAGTCATAAGGGTAAATTTCTTGAAATTGAGATTTATACATGTTCTGAAAGCTGAATAAATAAGCTTTCCATTGATGTATGATTTGTTAGGATAGGACAATATGTGGCCGAGATACAACTATTTGAAAATCTGTAATCTGAGGTGCAAAAAAATCTAAATACTGAGAAAATCACCTTTAAAGTTGTCCAAATGAAGTTCTTAGCAATGCATATTACTAATTTAAAATTAAGTTTTGATATATTTACGGTAGGAAATTGTAAAAATATCTTCATCTTTACTTAATATCCTAATGATTTTTGGCATAAAAGAAAAATTATTTTGACCCATACACTGTATTTTTTGGCTATCGCTAAAAATATACCCCAGCGACTTAAGACTGGTTTTGTGCTCCAGGGTCACATATGTGCCTCAAATATTAGGTAATGATAATGGTCAACCATTATCATAAGTATATAGTGTTTAAAGACACCTAATATAAAATGGGACTTAATTTTGTACTTTGCCTTCATTAACAGATATTATGTTTTAGTTTCAGGGTCTGTAAGTTGTGGTAAGTATACTAAAAAGTATTCAGTTAGATTCCAACCAGTGGAGATGTTGGTGCATGTGTGGGAAGCTTTACCGCATTAAGGCCTCGATATACTCACAGCAAAGTATTTTTTCGCTTGGGGGCAAAAATTATTTTGAAATGCCAGACAAGTGGTATACTGGTAGCAAACTTCCTGACGCCACCCTCTGCAATTCGATGACTGTGTAAATATGTGCTGTGTGCTTTCCTCTCAGTAACAATATAAACACACAGCAGTTAAAAAAGCATCTGATCATAGTGATGTGCAGATGTTTCCTCCAGCTCTGCAATTCAGCACTCCAGTTAAGTCATGTAATGTTTATTTATATAGCACTTTATACAACAATTTTACACCATTAAGCATAAAATATGTTAGTCTTGCTTTCACTTTGAATTGCACATCAAAGAAAGTAAAACCACAGAGCACACCTACCTATTACCTAATGGCCATGGACCAATGGTAGTTTGCTTAGAAATCAAAGCAACATTTTTCAGAAAGTTAATTTTGGCAAGATGCTTTGAACTTCTGAAATAAACTTTGTTTTGGGCTAATTTTGTTAGAAATCATGGCACGCTAGTTTATTCTTAAATTTTCGTATATCGGGGCCTTGAGTTAAGGACGTGGCTGACTAATTCCATTATGGGCTGCAGCTTTTGTGATTGGCAGCTCCTGATTCATCACCCTTAATGCTTCAGTAACGCTGTCTGAACTCTTTTGGGCTGTTATGACGGTTCTTGGGAATTCTGGGGTGTTCAGTGAGAAATATTTTGTGTTATCCTAGTTAATAGAGTCAAGTAAACGTCATTTATGGCCTGTCATACGTCATTTATGAACACTAACTTTGTAGTACTTTTGAAGCATTGCTGTCTTTGTTCGAGTGAAGCGACATGTCCATTTCTGACTAAACTGTTGGTGACAGGACTACCTGTTTGGCTGGAAGAGTGTGGGATGGTTTGGGGAAAGTTTTGCAGCAGTTTTGACACAAACACTTAACACATACCCACAGCCGAACGGTTACACTTTCAAAATATACTCTGCAGCATGACAAATTCTCACTAGAAAGTTCCATCTTTGTCAGTGTTGGTGGTATTTCTCTGTAGAAGTTGAGCATTACAGTCTTTATAGTTGTTTAAAGGAGACATATCATGAAAATCTGACTTTTCCAGGTTTTAAGTGCTATAATCAGGTCCCCGGTGCATCTACCAACCAAGGAAACGTGAAAAAGATTAACCCAGTAACTTTGTTTTGGTAAGCCTTTTTCTGCAAGCGTCTGAGAAAACGAGCACGTCTGATTTCGCTCCCTGGGTGATGTGGCAAAGGGATCTCATTATAATATTACCGCCCCTTAATCTCTAAGTTTCCACTCAAGACGCCGTCATTTTGATTTCACAAGCGACAACGGTGTACCAGCTCTAACGCCATGGTGAAAGTTTGAGCAAAACATGCTAACTGTTCTGTCTTTGGCTGCACAGACGAGCACAGAACACTCCCTTGGTGATGTGGCAAAGAGATCTCATTATAATATTACCGCCCCTTAATCTCTAAGTTTCCACTCAAGACGCCGTCATTTTGATTTCACAAGCGACAACGGTGTACCAGCTCTAACGCCATGGTGAAAGTTTGAGCAAAACATGCTAACTGTTCTGTCTTTGGCTGCACAGACGAGCACAGAACACTATTTAGAGTCCCAGCCTCAGAGGAGACAAGAGAGCAGTGCATTTATTGATTTATTTACCACACAGATCTAAAATAAACATGCAATTTATTTCCCAGCTGTCTACCTTCACAGACATAACCGACTGTTTTTGTAACTTGTGTTTTTAACGTAATCTTGTGTGTGAATGAGAACTTAGTTTAGTACTCGCATGCTGTGACAGCCGCTTTCTGTCCGTGTGCTTCGGATGTGTGCGCTCAGAAAACCTTATATCTGAAGTTTAAACTCGTATGGTTTAAAACACATGATATCAGCGCGATAAACATGATAATCAGAACCAAAACAGATGTTTTTAGTAGGTACCAGCTGTAATGGCGCGGCTCTATTCTGAAAAAGAGGGCGGGGAGCAGCAGCTCATTTGCATTTAAAGAGACAGGCCCAAAAAAACTGCATGTTTTTGCTTCCACTCAAAATAGGCATTTTCAAAATGATATAATACATTTATCTGTGGAGTATTTTGAGCTGAAACTTCACAGACACGTTCTCTGGACACCAGAGACTTTTATTACATATTGTAAAAAGGGGCATAATATGTCTCCTTTAAACTTCACACAAGTGCTTGTCAATTGCTTGTGTCTGAAAAAGCGGCAATGGCCATGGTCAGTGTTGCCACCTTTTGGACCTACTAAATTGGGCCACATGCAATGTTGCGCAAAAGTACTGTGTAATTTAGATATACTTGGTAACCCCAAAGTGTACTTCAGTTTTACAAGTATGCTAGGGGATGGGTACAGTGCGTGTGGCACAAATTTGGAGAAAAGATGGAACTTTGCCTTTGTTTTGCATACACTGACAAATGTAGTATGTTTGAAAGGCTGAAAAAGTGTTTGAGTATACTTTCATGTTAGCAATTTAAAATAAATTCACGTTTGTTCTATGGACATAAAAAGATACCTCAAATAGTGTAGCTTAAGAAGAGGTGTGTTATTCCTTTTCTAAGCAAACAGACAATTTTCACAATAACACAGGTGGGGGGAAAATCCTATCAACTTGCATCGAAGAAGGGACTGAGGTAAATCTGGAGATTTGGAGGTGTACGCTTTTGATTCTGTCCTTTTGACTACCAAGAACACCCTAGCAACTGCATAGCAACACCCTGCCAACAACCCAGCACATCCTAGCATTGGGGTTTTGTAGTTGTTTTCTTAAAGGGGTCATATGATGCTATTTTTAAAGATCATTATTTGGTGTAACAGAATATGTTGACATGCTATAATGTTCAAAAAACACATTATTTTTCAAATACTGTACATTATTGTAAGTCCTCTATGCCCCGCCTCTCTCAAACGCTTCGTTTTCTACAAAGTCCCTCCTTCCGACAAGCGCAGTCTGCTCTGATTGGCCAGCTGACCCAGTGCATTGTGATTGGCCGAACACCGCAAGTACTCATCGGAAATGTAACGCCCCTTACCATAATCGCAAGCTTCATCTTTTAAAATAAATGTAAAGACAGAGCCCGAAAGGGAACAGAGTCGAATCAGAATGAGAGTCCAAACAGCTGCTAAAAACATCACAATAATCCACACAACTTCAGTCCATTAATTAACATCCTCTTGATTCAGATGAGATGGCTTCACTGGAGAAAGCAATATTACTGATAGAGGTATATTAGCTGGAAGCAAGAGTTTGAAGTAAAATATGTCTTAATGATCGATTTATTACAAACATGCACAAACATGCAGCTTGTGGATTATTGTGATGTTTTAATCAGCTGTTTGGACTCTCATTCTGACGGCACCCATTCAATGCAGAAGATCAATTTGTGAGCAAGTGATGCGATTTCTCCAAATCGGTTCTGATTAAGGAAAACCTATCTACATCTTGGATGGTCTGAAGGATAGTACATTTTAAACAAATTTACAATTTTGGGTGAACTATTCCTTTAAGCCGGTGACATTCAGACATTTTTAAGATGTGTGGCTTTGTGCCTACACACTTTTGAGGGTATCAAATAGTTACAAACATGCAGCTTGTGGATTATTGTGATGTTTTTATCAGCTGTTTGGACTCTCATTCTGACGGCACCCATTCAATGCAAAAGCTCAATTTGTGAGCAAGCGATGCGATTTCTCCAAATCGGTTCTAATTAAGGAAAACGTATCTACATCTTGGATGGTCTGAGGGATAGTAAATTTTAAACAAATTTGCAATTTTGGGTGAACTAATCCTTTAAGCCGGTGACATTCAGACATTTTTAAGATGTGTGGCTTTGTGCCTACACAATTTTGAGGGTATCAAATAGTAGGCCTGTGCAATTAATCGCATGCGATTGTCATGCGCATCTCGTCAGTAAAGCCGGTTCTGTGATTAGTAGTAAATCTCCATCACCTGCTTTCAGATGGAGCGGCATTTAATACACTGAAGGCAAATTTATGCAAATTTGCAATGGTTAATAGAAAACGGTGTGTTTAGTTTGAACAAAAGCATTAAATCAAGAACCTCCTGCTCTACAGACGATTCCAAGTAGTATTACAGACATGAATAATATATGCAAATGCTACTTTACAGTAAAGTACAATTAAAATAGAACTTTTTCCAAGTATATATTTTTGCACATATCTAATATACAATTATTAAAGGAATTATTAACATTATTGGCTAATTTACACAAACTACAATGAAACAAAACGCTTGCATTTTTCAGTTTCAAAAAAACAAAAAACTGCCAATGTAAATGATTCATTAGATTTCAGCCTGATATTAGTCATAGGGCTATAAACATTATGAATATGATTTATTTCAGATCTTAATCTGTCACTCTTCACATTCATCGAAAGTGCTTTGCAATTCAACCCGGGTAGCTTTCGATCTCAATTACATCCTGCAAACATTGACAAAGATTTTAAACTTCTCATGCATACAGTCCTTGCAGTATTATTCAAATAATTCACCATAGCCATGAATTAACATCAGTAACGATGCAACCGTATTGAGAAATGCACTAACAAAATACAGTGGACCCACAAAAGTATTTGCACACTTGAGCCACACTAATGCTTGAATGTCACTGCATTCATTTATTTAACCACCCGCTTTATTATTTGAAACTACAATTCGTTTTGTGAAATGTATTTCTTGAAAAGTGTGCTTGTTGTGCACACGAAATGAATGACACTTATTTTGGTATTCCATATTTAAAGGAATAGTTCACCCAAAAATAAAGGGGAAAAAAATGCTACTCTCTGGCCATTCAAGATACAAAGGAGTTTGTTTCTTCATTCTATCACTTGCTCACCAATGGATCCTCTGCAGTGAATGGGTGCCGTCAGAATGAGAGTCCAAACAGCTGCTAAAAACATCACAATAATCCACACAACTTCAGTCCATTAATTAACATCCTCTTGATTCAGATGAGATGGCTTCACTGGAGAAAGCAATATTACTGATAGAGGTATATTAGCTGGAAGCAAGAGTTTGAAGTAAAATATGTCTTAATGATCGATTTATTACAAACATGCAGCTTGTGGATTATTGTGATGTTTTTATCAGCTGTTTGGACTCTCATTCTGACGGCACCCATTCAATGCAAAAGCTCAATTTGTGAGCAAGCGATGCGATTTCTCCAAATCGGTTCTAATTAAGGAAAACGTATCTACATCTTGGATGGTCTGAGGGATAGTAAATTTTAAACAAATTTGCAATTTTGGGTGAACTAATCCTTTAAGCCGGTGACATTCAGACATTTTTAAGATGTGTGGCTTTGTGCCTACACAATTTTGAGGGTATCAAATAGTAGGCCTGTGCAATTAATCGCATGCGATTGTCATGCGCATCTCGTCAGTAAAGCCGGTTCTGTGATTAGTAGTAAATCTCCATCACCTGCTTTCAGATGGAGCGGCATTTAATACACCGAGAGGTAGTTCATTGACAAGCTAGGCAATATCGCGTTCATAATCGAATGCGATTCATCTGCGATTATGAACGTGATATTGCTTAATTGAAGTGAACTACGGCTCTAAATGCCGCTCCATCTGAAAGCAGGTGATGGCGATTTACTACCAATCGCGGAACCGGCTTTACTGATGAGATGCACATAACAATCACATGCGATTAATTGCACAGCCCTATCAAATAGGTCAGATCTTTGCAGGCATCATGATGGGATGTTGAATGGATGAAGAACGTAATTTGCCTTCTGACTCTTTTCTCAGATTTCCAAAGCAAAGGGTCAGTTTAATATGCATGTTTTTTTCGTTATGGCTTTGAAGAGCACCACAGCTCATTTGAGCAAACGCCAAGTCTAGATATTTATGTACATTTAAAAAGCTTACTCCTACAAACTCCGACAATTTGGGGAGTCCTGATTTATTCCCATTACGGTTCAAACCCCAAATATGGGCTCTTTTATGTCAAACACGGTAAGAATCAGAGAGATATTCAAGCTGAAATCACCAGTGCATCTTCCACTTTGCTACATTATTAAATGACAGATAGCAGCTATGTGTGCAGAACACTGAATGATTATATACTTGACATGTAAGTTATTATAATGGCCTTAATGGATTTCTATTAACAGGATTTTCATAACTACTACGAAAATTCTACTTTTAATTACTGAAATTGGGGATTTCTGACTTAGCACAAAAAAGCTTGTGATAAGCTGCATCGCCGTACATTCACTCTGTCTTTCCATTTGCTAATTCTTAGAGTTGTTATCATAGTGCAAAAGCAGGAGTTAGAGATCACGGGACAGGCTGAGAAACACCCCCCTCCACGGCTGGCCTCTGGGTCTGCAGAGGTGTCGAACCATCCGTCGATTCCTTTCAGTTGATTCTTCTGTAACAAGATGATCCAATCTTTAACATACCTGCCATCACATGCGCCAATTATTTTTTTTAGCCACAAATATGATCATATCTGTTGCAATCGGTAGTACATTCCTGAGCTATGTTCAAACTACGCAGTGTGAAACAGCAAGCAGTTGCAACAATGAATCCTTCAAACCGTATTCAAGCAGTAGTTCACTCAAAAATGAAAATTTACTTGCCTTCAGGCCTTCCAAAATCTAGAGTTCATTTTCATTTTTGGGTAAACTATTCCTTTTAATTTATGTGTCAAAATAAACTATTTCGTACAGGAATGTTGCACAGTGTCAGTAAGATTCTTTAAATGTTTTTACATGTATTTGATGAAAAATACAGTAGAGCAGTAATATATATATATATAAAAAAAATACAATTTAAAATGTAAAAACGTATCTGTTTTAATTAGGGCTATCGATTTAACTTGTTAATTTGGTATGATTAATTATGGAAAAAACAATGAGTTAAAATGATTAACGCACCCGCCTCGCGCAGACCTGTACATCATCTTACACTGCATGCAATTGCTGACAAATGTGATGCAGGACAACAACCTACTGCATGATGAATGCAGTTACATGTCCCTAAATGTTCAAGATATGAGAGCAAAAATACCCCTGCATGGGGTTTTGTCTTATATTTATATCATATTAGCAATATCACATGAGCAAGAATCCTGTTTTTTTCTGAATATCTTCACGATTGCATATGTGACATTGATTTTATACAACAGTTAAAATTTGACACATTATTGTATCATCTGTTTTTGCAAAAATTGTTTCAAACAAAGCCACAGTAAAACTGTTGTCCATCTTGGAGTAACACACAATGGTGTTTCATTACTGAATGAAAAAAAAAAAGAAGGAATTTCAATGTTATCGCCACATTGCAGCCTTAAGAATTTGTGGAATAAATGATATGTTGAATCAAAATATTTCTTTTAAAAAGTAGTTTGAAAATAAATAGCTAATTTCTTGTTAATGTCTATTCAGTGCTTTTCTCATTTAATATAATAATGACTTTAAATTACCATTTGGGGGTAATTTCTCAATGCAAATGTGCAATTAATTTGCAATTCTAAACAGACCTAATTTTAATATATTTATATAATTTATTTGTGTGATGCAAAGTTGAATTACTCCAGTTTTCACTGTCATATGATCCTTCAGAATCATTCTAATATGCCGATTTGTTGCTCAAGAAACATTTCCCATTATTATCAATGTTAAAAAAACAGTTAATAACATTTTATAATATTTTTTACTTTTTAGAATGCTTTGATGACTAGAAAGTTCAAAAGAACATTTATTTCAAATAGAAATCTTTTGTATTATAAATGTCTTTAATGTCACTTTTAATCAATGTATCCTTGCTGTATAAAAGTACTAATGAAAAAAAATAATAATACTAACCCCACACTTTTAAAGGGGTCATATGATGTGATTTAAATTTTTCCTTTCTCTTTGGAGTGTTACAAGCGCTTGGTGCATAAAGAAGATCTGTAAAGTTGCAAAGACTAAAGTCTCAAATCCAAAGAGATATTCTTTATAAAAGTTAAGAGTCAGCCACGCCTACCTAAAACGGCTCGTTCTAACACGCCCCCACACGTCTACGTCACGGTGTGGGAAGATTTGCATAATGCCGCCCAAATGTTCACGCAAAGAAAGGCGGCGTAACTTTTATTCTCGCTGTAGTATTGTTGCTGCCGCCATGTCGAGACGCTGTGTGTTTCATTGCGAAACTACTTTGTTTGGCCTTCCAAAAGAGGACGATATCGCTTCGTCATGCCTGGAGCTGATCCGTGCTGGTCGCTGAGGAAATACATCAACTTCGCGCTGTGGATCACCGGATCGGCTTTCACCGTGGACGAAGCGGAGTCCAGCCCGGGGTCGTCACATGTGGTTGCTGCAAGCCCGCCGGCCGCTCCTTCATTGAATCCGCCGGCTGCGCTGTTCTCAAGCCCCCCGCCTCTGCTCACTCTAGACCGCCGTGTGTTTCGTCGTGAAAGCGAAACTACTTTGTTTGGTCTTCCAAAAGAGGATGATATCGCTTCGTCATGCCTGGAGCTGATCCGTGCTGGTTGCTGAGGAAATACTTC